TCAGTCTTTTTCTATGTAATATCTCCAAGGCAGACTTTATTACATTCCTAGAATTCAGTCTGATGTACCAAGAGTAATAATGTTTGCTTTACTTACTGTGGGGAAAAATTAAATATTCAATTCTATTAAAACAAACTTACTTCTCAAAGATACTGCTTTGTCTGTGAAGGTTATAAAGAAAAAAAAATAAGATGAACATTTAATCCATTTGTAGGGACCTTCCAATCTGTGAATACTGCCAGAGGCAAAATGCAGTCACACTGGGCAAGCCCTGACAAAAGCAGCTGTGAGTAAAGGCAGGAGGCCATAACTCAGGGCTGTCGTGCACGTGTGACCAATGAGAGAACTAGAACTTACCAGCACTTCTGCACGGACCCCCTGCAACACAGCTGCTTAACTCTGGACTAATAACATCTTTGTTAGTGATCCTCACAGCCAGGTGTGACCAGTGCAAAACACCTCGCGTAACCTTCCTGTTTGCTCTTAACAACGTCCCCTTGCCTCAACTGCCTTAAAACACGCATGGTTTCTGATGGCACTCGTATTCCCACTGCGACGCTATTCTATTCCCAAATAAACAACATTCTTGGAGAATCTCTATTATTTAGATCGACAAACCTTTTAGATGAACCACTTTCACTATTATGGAAGTTTTTTGTTGGCCTTCATTATTATTTGTTAGTTCTTTGTTGTAACTACCCCGAGGGTAATTACCTGTGCAATCTCATCTGTGTTTCCCTACAAAAACAACGCATTTTTGAACTTACAGAAAGAGATAACCTAGTTCATTTCCCAGTTGGTGTGCTGTTTCATTTTCATGTCACTCCACTTGATGGCAGAAAATTCAAGAGATCAGTGTCGATAAAAGCCATCTATGAAAAACCAACAGCCAACATCATACGAAATGGTCAAACACTGAAATCTTTCACACTAAGATCAGGAACAAGACCAGGATGCTCACTATCGCCACTCCTGTTCAACACAGTTTTGGAAACATTAGCCACAACAATTAGACAAGAGAAAGAAATACAAGGAGTAAAGATAGAAAATGAAGAAGTCAAATTGTCATTATCTGCAGATGACATCATACTCTATATTGAAGACCCCAAGAACTCCACCAAAAGTCTTTTACACTTAACCAAACTCAGTAGAGTAGATGGATACAAGGTCAACCCTCAAAAATCAATAGCTTTCCTCTACACCAATGACAGACTCACTGAGAGAGAAACTGGAAAAACAACTCCTTTCACAATAGCATCCAAAAAAATGAAATACCTACGAAAACTACAGCACTCCGGCTGGGCTATTTAGCTCACTGGTGCCATTGCCCACCTCGCAAGCGCAAGGTCCTAAATTCAGTCCATGGTACAAAAAACAAACAAACAAGAAAAAAAACACGACAGCACTCTGAAAAAAAGAGATCAAAGAAGATATCAGAAAATGGAGACATCCCTTGCTCCTGGGTAGGAAGAACCAATATAGTGAAAATGGCCATACTTCCAAAACTGCTGTATAGATTCAATGTAATCCTGATTGAAATTCAAAAGCATATTTCACAGAACTAGAAAAAACAATAGTCCAAAAATTCATTTGGAACCAGAAGGGACCTAGAATAGCAAAAGCAGTTCTAGGCAACAAAGACAAGGCAGGGGGTACCACAATCCCCAACTTGAAACTATACTACAAAGCTACTGTGATAAAAACAGCACGGTACTGGCAAAGAAAAAGACCTGAGGACCAGTCAAATAGATGAGAAGATGCTGAAACAACTCCAGACACTCAGCTACCTCATCTTCGACAAAGGAGCCAACCACCCTCACTGGAGGAAAGATGCCCTCTTTAATAAATGGTGCTGGAAAAACTGGGCTTCAACTTGCCAAAGATTAAAACTAGACCCCTATCTTTCACCATGCACTAAATTAAAATCAAAATGGATCAAAGATCTAAATATTAAAACAGAAACACAAAACCTGCTCAAAGACAGGCTAGATAGAACTCTTGAGACACTGGCATAGGAAAAGACTCTCTGAACAAAACCTCAGTCACATGGGAACTAGCAGAAAGAATCAACAACTGGGATCTCATTTTATTAAAAAGCTTCTGCACAGCAAGAGAAGCCACCAACAGCGTGAAGAGACAAGCCACAATGTGGGAAAAAATTTTGACCAGCTGTTCCTCAGACAAAAGACTGTTATCTAGAATATATACATAAAAAAACCATATCCCCCAAATTTAAAGATCCAATCCAAAAACAGGCATCTGAAATGAGCAGATATTCCTCAGTTGAGGAAGTAGAAGCAGCAAGTAAACACGAAAAAATGTTCAACATAACTGGTCATTCGAGAGATGCAGGTGAAATCAATGCTGAGATTCCACCTCACCCCAGAAAGAATGACTGCTATCAAGAGACCAACTAGTAACAAATGCTGGCGGGGCCGTGAGGAAAAAGGAACCTTGCTCCACTGTAGGTGGGAGTGCAGACTGGTGTAACCACTGTGGAAATCAGTATGGAGATACCTCAAAGAACTAGGGCTAGAGGTCCCATTCGACCCAGCTATTCCCCTGCTGGGGATCTTCCCAAAAGCACCATACCACAGCGATATATGCATGCCCATGTTTATAGTGGCACAGTGTGTAATAGCTAAATCTTGGAAACAGCCCAAGTGCCCATCAAATGGTGACTGGATAAAGAAGATGTGCTTTTTTTTTTTTTTTTAATAAAATGGAGTACTACTCAGCCATAAGGAATGGTAAACTAGAGACCTTTATAGTTAAACGGATGCACCTTGAGGCCATGGTGAAATAAATAGGAGACACATGTGTAAATACCAAATTGTTTCTCAGGTGTGAGAAACTGAAAGTGTAAATGAGGACCAAAATGTATAACCGATAATGTGAAATAGGAAGAAAAGGTTCCAAGGGGAAAAGGAACTAGGAAGGGGGTGGCGGAAAGGAAAGAAAGAAAAAAAATGAGAAAAGAAGGAAACACAGAAACAAAGGTTTTGTAAATATGGAGGGGCGGAAGGGAAGGAAGGGGAATGGGAGAAAACAAGAACCAAGGGACATCTTGTACAGGATACAAATCCCCAATGATGAGCATGATCATAAAAAAAATCAGCATCTCAAGCTGTACACCCGCTTCGAAGGCACCCACCCGCGGCAGTGCAGTCCGTCTGCGAGCTTCTCTGAATGACGTTTAACTCCGCAGATCAAAGGGATTCTTCTGTTGTTCTTGTTAAAAGAATCTAAACCATTCATTATAAGCATGATTCCTTCGAGAATGCCAGCCACAAAAACATTCAAACCCGTCTTTTAGTAACAAAGAAAAATGCAGCAGTGATTCCCCTTGCGCCTTTCCTCTGTACCCCTCTGGCAGTGGGCATGAGGAGCCAGCTGGAGTCCCTGCGAGGCCGGCTCTGGCCTGAGACCTGGGCCCACGCCCACTGAGGACCTGGACTGTCCATCATCCCGGGAGCCCATGGGGAGGGGAGGGACGAAGCCGGTACCCCAGGCCTCAAAAGCCTCGTTTCCTTCCTTCTCCCTCTCGGAGCAGAACACAACCAGGTAGCTGAGAAGCCAGAAACGAAGCAGTTACTTGGAGCTACGGTACCATTCAAGGAAGCCCAGCCTTTCACTGAGGCCCTAACTGCCAGGCTAGGAGAGGCTCTGGGTCCTGCTCAGCCAACACTCGACAGAGGAGGACAGACTACCTGCTGCGTCATTTCTCAGGGACGACACACCATTGCCCTGGAAATAAAGCTCTGAGTCTCTGAAAAACTATGAATGAGAACGAGGAAGTGATCTGTCAGCAAGAAAGTATTGTGCAGGAGTTAGTTTTCCTGTTAGAAATTCCAAGCTTATGGTGAAGTACCACAGGGGGCAGTTTGAGGATTTGACGGACCAAGTCAAGACTCTTGGTGTGCTGCCATCGGGGTAAGTGACATGTTCATGTGCTGTCATTTCAAAGTGTTACAAGAGAATCCTCCTTCTGCATAACACCCACGAGACTGTGACAGTTCCAACAGGAAGCGTCTCCCAAAGACTCACTGACCCCCCAGTGTAGGAGCTGGGGACTGACTGGGAGAAGTGGATCCCTGAAGGTGAGACCTAGAAGGTGTATTCTTGTCCCCACCCCTTCCTCTTTCTTTGGCTCTTTCCCCGCTTCCGGGTGCCATCAGCTGAGCAGTGCTGCTCGGCCACGCCACTCATAATGCTCCTGCCTTGCAGCCAGCATACCATGGAACAAACCCTCGGGAACTGTGAGCCACATTACATATTTTCTCCTTTTAAGTTTTTTATGTCAGGTGTTTTTCCCAGCAATGGAAAAACTGACCAATACATTAAGCATTTTTAATAATTGAGATTATTTTGAGAGCAAATGGCTTATTTTCACTTCTGCTCAAAACTTCCAATGCTGTAATGAGAACCTAAAAGTACACATTAATTAATTTATACTAATTAGAATGAATTTTTTTAAAAGCTAAAAACCTTGGGTCGGGGATTTAGCTCAGTGGTTTAGCCGCCTGCCGCGCAAGTGCAAGGATCCGAGTTTGATCTCCAGTACCCAAAAAAACCCAAACAAACAAAAACAACCCCCAAAACTAACAAAAAGTTAAAAACCTTCACAAGCCTAACTTAATTCAAGTTGCCATAACATGCAAGGCTGCCTGCATTGTTGGAAGGTATAGTTTCTGGTTTACCGAAGACACTAGGAGAAGCTGGAGGACCACCTTAGATTACAGGGTGAAGGAGAGCCAGGGTCTCCTCCACCTGAGTCAGTTTGCTCGGGGCTGGGGCTCTTGACAAGAGGAGTACTTATGCGTCCCTTGAATGCAACCTCCGGACCCCTTGCTACATGAAGACAGCCTCGTGTCCCCCCGCTGCTCTGTCCTCTGGGGCGTTCACAGGACATCCCCCTGGTTCTGTCACAGAGCCTGGGTATACTACCTAGAGGCCGCGGGCATGGCAGTGACCACAGGGACATGGAGGGGGACACTCACCAGCTAGAAAGCAGGGCTGGGTCACCCAGTCCTCGGCGTACACCGCATACCAGCTCAGGTACCTGGTCTGCAAGTAGCCATTACAGGTACAGAACAGGAAGGCTAACACACAGGTGACAAGAGGCATCGGCTTTCCTCCTCGGATCAGGAAGGGGAAGATCAGGGACCTTCGGAGACAGGAAGCAGGTAAAATTCAAAAAGAGGTAACAAACCTCTGCAATTCTGTTTTAAACGTCTTGGCTTTTTAGCTTGCTTCCCTGTACAAATGTCACCCCCATCACATTAGTGCCAATTTATTCTATGCCAAGAAGAATTTTAGATCAATTCGCCATGTTTCAATGTATATCATCACAGTGCCCCAACTCAAGATTCTAGTTATACAGAACGCAAAACAGATACATCAGGATAGAGAAAACTGGAGACCTCGGGTGGCTCTCAGCTTCCATGACCCTGAAATCACTGAAGTGCTCCAGCCTCTGAACAGTAGGATTCAGGCCATGCTGTCACACCATCCATCAACAGCCACAAGCACAGTGACCGGCCACCCCTCCCAGCCCCTGGCTCTTACTGTTCATATTCAATGCAGAATGCACCGAAGACTCAGAGTGGCTAAAGAATCTGGACCAGGTGATAGGGCTGGTGAGGGGCTGAGTTCAGGCCAACGCTGGCCAATTCCAAGGCTCTTGTGCTACACCACACTAGCTTAGGGTCCCCTACTCAAGGGGTATTGCGAGAAGACAAAAGGACTACGGAAAAAAGGGGGTGCAAAACTCGGATTGAGTTTGCATTTCCTCTGCAATATCAATGCATAGGACATTGAAAGCGAGGACATCACCATCAGTCCTGCGGATCTTACAGGGACCTAGAACAAGCACTTTGTGCCAATACACTGGACAGCCTGAGGAGACACGCAGAGCCTGTGAAAGACGTGGGTGAGCAGAGCTAACTCCATAATGCCGTGTCAGTGAAAGCGTTTAACTTAGACTCATCAAACCCTAGAGGAGGCAAAACTGGGCCCAGTGGAAAGGGACTAACTGCAGAGAAGCCGGACAGAACCGCTGGTTCCTATCTTGTTGCTGAAATGGTTTAGACTTCAAATGCAGAACCATAATCAGGGTAGGAATTGGCTGCAAAGATACAGAGAAGCCTTTAGAGGAAAATAACTGTGCATCTTAATTTGAGTGATGACCACATAACTACACGCAGTCACCAGAATGCATGAAACTATAGACATGAAATAAGTAGAATTTTGTTTGGTAAATTATAAGGTGTGATATAAAAATATGGTGAAAGTTTAAATTTTTTTAAAATGTTATACTGAAAGATACATTGCCATAAATCTTCCTCAACATCCTCTCCCTGGCTTCAAACACAGTTATCCCATCATTCTTGCCACTTTCTGAAGCAGTTCTGAAAGTTCTCTTTCATGAGTATCTTTCGAGAGGTGATAAAAAAATGCAGTGAGTGCTGCTGCTGGGTGCCCCCAACAGAAAGGAGGTGGCGCATCCTCAGCCACCTTACTCACCGCATCTGGTACCATGCACCTGCTGGCTCTTCCCCAAGCTCAAAATGACCATGAAAGGTAACGTTCCGAATCGATTCAGGACATCGAGGCAGCCAGGACAGTGCAGCTAAAGACACTCAGGAAGGAGGACTCCAGAGCGGTTTCTGGAAGTGGCGAGAATGCTGGGATGAGCGTGTTCTAAGTGCATGTGTGCGTGTGCGTGTGCGTGTATTACTGAGGCCGATATTCTCCGACTGACTGGAAAGGGGGATGGCGACGCTAGAGAAAGGCTAGAGATGTGCGTAAGTTCTGGATCATTTGTTCTAAGCAGTAATGATACAGAGAAAGAAGAATACTCAAAATTGTGTGAACTACTGCCGGAGTCCAGCTCCAGCGGGTTCAGGTCCTGAGAGGAGGTGTGGAGTCCGCTATGAAAGAATGAGACAGACAGAGTGGAGGGTCGGCTGCTCAGCTTGCCCATCTGAGTTATACTGAAATCACTTTACTTATATATGTTTTGATTACACAAGGCTTTGGTAGGCAGTGGGTCCATACACAGTGTGTTCTCAAACAGCTAAAGAGCAAGCTGATATCATCTAAAAAACTATTTTAGACCACCCAGTTCTAAATACTCCTCCGGGTACATCCAAAACTTAAGAACTATGACAGAGATGGGGAAAAGGCCACAGTCAAAGTCTAAGTGATGCAATGGTGGGTGATTTTTACTTCCTCTGTGTAATATTATACAGAATTACTCTGTGTAACGTTTTACAGATTTTCTACAATGAGCACGCATTTCAACTGTAGTCCATCAACAGCCACCAGCATCTCAAGTCCAGGTACCTAATACATTCAGAATGAACAAGTTAGAGAAATTACACTTCCTGGGGTAAAGATCCCCAACTGCTAACTGAAAAGCTTCAGACACAATGAGGCAACATTCATGAAAAAGCAGGCACTTGGACCATGTGTGGGAGTTTCCAAAGCTCAGGAAAATGAAAGTGCCCAGGAAGCAAAGGGAATCATGGAGAATAAGAGCACCAGGAGAGCTTCCCTGGTGTCTGCGCCACTAGCCCCGGGAGCAGGAGCTGCGTGTGCCTGTGTGCCTGCCGGGGACAGGGAGCCCTGCCCTTCCCCTATGCAGCCCTTGCGTCCCACCCAGTAGGGTCAAGGCCTCAAGGTTGCCAGGTAGAGCAAGCTCACCTGCTGCCCACTCTGCCCCACCCCAGAGGGAGGGAGAGGACTGTTGGAAGTGTGCACTCCTGAGGGCCAAGACACACACACGCACATGTAAGGACCATCCTTTAAGTATTTAATGCCAAATCTGGAGAGTTCTGGGATCTCAAAAGCAAGTTCCACGCATGCCTCATTCACATAGAAAACTAAGGAATTATTTCTTGAAATATCTTCCTTACAACCTGAGTAGTAATACCCTACTCTTCTTGCAATAACAAACATGGCCTTCATTCAGCCAACGACCTGGCTCTCCACCTGGTTCTCGACATCAGGTGGACCCCATCGTCTAGCACAGCCCCAGCCTCAGAGCCCTGGAGCGGGGGGAGCAGTGAACAGTGACTCGGGGGTTATTTAGGCCATGGTAGATGTCATCATTTCAATCTTCAAAAGCAAGAGTGGTTAATTCCAATAATCTTATTACTTTTTTCTCAACAGTTTGAGAACTAAAACCTCAACAAATGTGAAATGACTCTTTTGCAGGGGTCAAGTAGCACAGAGCCCTATACACAGGACTTACATGAACATTTTGGTTTTTCAAGACAGCATGAGGGTCACGATGAATATTTCAATGTTCACCATTTTATACTTTTGCATAAAATATTTTCCCACTTCAAGTATTTAGACCCACAAGGCCAGGGCACTCAACAACAACTGACTTGGGAAGACCACAGGCTGAGATGAGATGGCCCTAGCACCTGAGGTTCCACGGCTGCCACCTACATTCTAGCTCCACACAGTAGTGTGGGAAACTTGCCCCTGACTCACCAGAAGCCACCAGCTTCCTGGACACTTGACTGATTAGAAATTACCAACGAATCCCTAGCTAGAAACCTGACCGATCAGAAATTGACAATGAACTGAAGCTAGGGACTTTCTAGTCTATGTAATCAAGTACTCTTTTTGTCTTGGTGCCCCAAACACCTTAATAAGCAAGACTTCCCCGCACAGACCTCAGTGGAATCCAAACTGCTCGGGTACTGGAGGGGCAGACTCCTGAGTCACCCACCTGTTCAAGCAAAGTCTTTAAAAGTTTAATGTGTCTTTGCTTATCTTTTATTGCCTGTTGCTCTCAGTGCCCTGCTGTGATTTAGAATTGCAGGAGTCCACTACACAGCAGGGGCTGAGCCAGGCTTTCCCAAGAGACCATTCTGCAGGAAACTATCCCACGTAGACGAGGCTTGTCTCAGTGGTACTGGGGATGGAGCCCAGGGCCTTCACACTAAGCTAAGCTTCACCTCCAGCCCTTCCCACTCAAACTTTCAATCCTCCTGCATCAACTTCCCAAAGGGCTGCGAGGACAAGCATGTGCCACCATTCCCAGCTCAAAGCTTGGTCCTCGGGGGCAAGGCGGATCAAGATGGCACTGGCTCATGGCTCTGGCTGGATGCCGTCCTGGGGCCAGGTGTTCGGAGGTGGCAGCCTTCTGGGCACTGGAGTGCCTGCACGTCCGGGCCATGCCACATCTCTGTCTGAGGCCCTGGTTCCTCATTATGAAGGTGGCTCCGAAGGAGGCCCACTGGCAGGCAGCACCCTACACGCAGTACTTGGGACTGTGCTCCGGGCCAGCCCACGAGGGAGGCTTTTACCTGACACTTGACTAATCCAGTGCTCAACCTGGGCGTGGACCTGCCTGGCTGGATAGAAAGTAGAGCAGGGACTCCGACATCACGGCAGTGCTGAACTGGCGCTGGCGACAGAGGGCACTACTGCCAGTGTCTGATGTCCTCTGGCTGGGCAGGACCGTACAGGGAGCGCAGGAGATGAACGGTAAGATGTGTAACATAAGGCTGGCAGGGAACAGAGCTGGTGTCGGGGGTGGCACTGAGGCACTAGCCCAGGAGGGAGACCTGGGGACAAAACAGAGGGCTTGGGACGAGAGGATGGCCAGTGAGGAGGACGAACACAGGGATCAGGGGAGCACGGGCCCTGAGGACACACCTGTCCCAGGCAGCAGCCAGTGACCCGTTGGACAGGCTGTGCAGCAAGACTGAGCTCAGCGTGAGCTCAGGACATCAGCTGGAGACTTTAGCACAGAAAGGATGCAGATGGCCCCCAAACTAACAAGGACCATGACACCCATGCCACGCGTCCGAGATTAACAACCTGCTCCAAGGTCCTCTGCCCCACATCCCTGGGGGAAGCAGCAGGAGCAGCGTGGCTGGGTCTTCATCCAGCTGCCCTCCTCTGCCAGGCAGGCCACCTTCCTCCCACAGGTTCCCTGCAAGCTAGCTTCCACTCCAGCCTGCCACGGGGTGTCGGGTCTCCTCACGTCCTCCTGCCCCCTCACGTCCACCCTTAGCACTCGCTGGCTGAACAAGGACACAGAAACGCACAGTGGTTCTTCCTCCTGGAGCCAACCCTATGCCTCTTTCACCTGGCCCCCCTCTTCATCCATCCCGGCACGGTCACTCGCCCAGGGACCAGTGGTCATTCTGCCGCAGCCGCCCTGTCCCCCTGTTGTGGGCAGCTTCAGGGCCTGGCTCTCAGCACCCCAGGAGGTGCACACGGCCCAGGGTGGGGCTTGGCCAGCATCTCTGGGCCCCTCCCACGGCCCCTCCCATCTGGAGAGCCCTGGGCAGTGGGGACTGGGCCAACAGGGCAACAGTCACCAGTACTAAGGGCCATTTCCACCCTGGTTCTCACCTAAGCACTGTCCACTTCAGGTCAGATGACTACTGAATAAATAAACTGCTTAGGGAGAATGGAAAATGCTTATCCTTTTATTTAGAAAACCTGTCTCCCAACCACATGGGCTTTATGCATATTCACATATGCAGCTTTACAAAATATATAGGATCTCCATGCAGCTTTAGAAACTACACCTGATCCAGCAAACCCCCCTGGAGAAGTTTTCACAACTACTGAACCAGGGGCTTTAGTCCCAGTAGTCCCTGGCCAGCAGCCCCAGGTCGAACGTGTATGCTAATCTATTAAAGATCTACCTCTGTGCAGGGGTGTAGGGGTGTGTGTGTGTGGGTGTGTGTGTGTGTGTGTACATCATTTTGCCCTGGGCCCCTGCCTAAGGGGGAGGCAAAAGTCTCTGAAACTGATCAGAGCCACACAGAGGAATCGGAGTAGTTTTAGGGCACCAGGTTCACAGAGCCAGGAGAAAAACTCCACGGGGTCCCCAAGGGGGACCAACAGAAAAGAAGCTCGCGCCATGGCCACGGTGACTTGAGGCAGTCATATCTTACAATGGGGTCATAAACGGCTGTCTTGGCCCGAGGATGTAGCTCAGCGGCGCGCTTCGCAAGTGCAAGGTCCTGAGTTCAACTACCGGTAGCGAAAAAAATAAAACAAAGCAAAACACAAAGAACAGGCTGTCTTCATCAAAGAAATAAATTCCAGGATGGCTGCACAACTGCCTTTCCAGAGCAGTTCCACGCCACTCCCCATCAGGCCCGTTTTCCTCCGCCTCCGTCCCTGTCCACAGTACCAGAGCGCCCCCCACACACGCTGTCCTTCCCGGCACACAAGGCACGCGGGGCCGGCCGGGCTCACCTGTGCACATAGTGGACGAGGTACATGGCCAGCAGCACGCGGTTGGGAAGGCGGTCGAGGCGCTGGGGGGACGCGCAGGTGCACTCGAGCAGCGGCCAGGCCAGCGCCGGCAGCTCCTGCAGGGCCCAGGCGACACGCGCGGGCACCCGCGGACCGGGCCACTGTGACGCGTAGCGGCCGTAGGGCGACGAGAGGCGCAGGAGCAGGGCAAAGCATACGCAGCCCGTGAGCATCATCAGGTAGGCGAACGCGTCCAGCAGGCGCAGCTCCTCTGGCTCCATCGATGAGGCCGGGCAGCGCGCTCCATACCCAGGCGCCCCACACGCCGAGAAGCCTGGCCGCCGCCCCACGTGCCGAGCACACCGACCCTGCAGGCGTCGCTGAAGGGCGGCCCAGACAGACCACCACCTGCGCGGGGCAGGGCCAGGGACCGCCCGCCTATCACTGTGCACGCGCAGGCCGGAGTCCCGCCCCTTCACGCCCACGTCCGAGTGGCCCGCCCTCCATCCCACCTATCACTGTGCAGGCCGGGCGGCCGAGAGCCCCGCCCTTCCCACCACCCGAGCAGCCGGGCCCCGCCCCTTCTGTACACTCCCTACCCGGGGCCCCGCCCCCTCGTGGAGCCGCCGCAGCCTAAGCCCCGCCCGCGCTGTCCCGCGCCGCTCTGCGCACGCGTCAGCCTCAGGCAGTCCGCAGCGTTGCCTGCGCCCCGTGGGCCGGGACCCTTGGCCTGCTCGCGCGTTTGGGCTTTTCCTTGGAGCCGCTTTCCCGCTATGGCGGGCCTCGCTTTTCGCGCGCTCGGCTTCCGGGACGACGGGTGGCGGCGCTTGACGGGTGGCGGCGCTTCGGGCAAATCTCCTGACGGCCCGAGAGGACCGGGCCCGCCCCGCGGGGGCCTCGGCTCAGGCGGAAGTTCGCGCATGCGGCGCCGTGGCGGGCCGGTGTCTGCGCACAGCGGGGGCGACCGCGTGCATCATGGGGCGGCGGTCGCGGGGCCGGCGTCTCCAGCAGCAGCAGCAACAAGAGCAACAGCAGCGGCAGCGGCCCGAGGGCGCGGAGGACGGGGCCGAGGGCGGCGGGAAGCGCGGCGAGGCGGTAGGGCCGGGGCGCCAGGGCCGGGCGGCGGCGGCGGGGGGGGGGGCTGTCCTCAGGCCCAGGTGAGACGTGCGTTCCTTCTCAGGGCTGGGAAGGCGGCTACCCCGAGATCGTCAAGGAGAACCAGCTGTTCGAGCACTACTACCGCGAGCTCAAGATCGTGCCTGAGGGCGAGTGGGACCGCTTCATGGGCGCTCTCAGGGCGCCCCTCCCGGCCACTTTGAGAATTACTGGTTACAAAAGGTAGGGGCCTGCGCCCGCAGGCCAAGCTCGGGGGTGCTCCGGGGAGCAGGGCTCCAGTGCGGAGCTGCTTCCTTCCCCCGGTGGGTTCAGGACGTCTTGAGGACGGGCGCGGTGTTCGGAGAAATAGACCTGGGTCGGGAGGCCTTGTAGGTGGCGGGCCGGATTAAGAACTGAAAATGCAGCCTGAGAAAGATCTGGCTCTTGGGGATTAATTAGCTGAGGATCCTGCTTTTGGGACAGGAGTATTTCTGACATCGAATTTGCCATAAAATCTCACTCCCCGCCCATCAATGTAGTTATATCTTTCCATGCTAAGTTGCACATAAAATTGAAATTTAGGGTATTAGAGGAAAAGAATGCAGCATTGCATTTAGTTATCTTCTAGCGATCAGGGAGGGTTGCTTAAATGTTAAAGGAATACAGCGAAAAATCTGATTAAAGGACATCTCTTTATGTAGAGTTGGTTTAGTTTTAAAACACTTGGAAGTCTTAAAAGGTTAAAGTTAGCTTTTCCAATCATTGTAAAACTTATTTTCGATAGCCATGCAAAAGAAATTCTGCACTGCTTGAAGAACAAGTATTTTAAGGAGTTGGAGAACTTGGAAGTGGATGGTCAGAAAGTCGAGGTTCCACAGCCACTGAGTTGGTAGGTATAACAGTCCTTCATTTTGTGGGTATTCAAGGGTTGTTTTTTGTCCCTTGAATATAGTTTCTCACACTTCATTTGCTGAAGCATGAAAGAGGTTAAAGGTACTTAGGAGACATCCTGATGTTCTTTTACCCAGTGCTTTCATTGAGTTTAGTTGGTATGCAAGTTTTCATAAATGACTTCTTGCTGTCTGTGTTTAACTCATCCGGTCCAGTTAATTTGTTCTTGTAGGCCCAGCCTCTTTCCTTCCTTGGTGTTGCCACTTTGGGCATTTCCATCTCCGTACCGCCCTTGTTTTTCCACATCAGAACTGTTGTAGAGGGTCTTCTCTGCCTGTAGGAACCAGCAGTCTCAGCCTGACAGGGCTGCTGTGGTCTGCTGTGGACTGTCCCACTGTTTGCCAGCACAGACTGCACTTAGTCGTGTTTTAGAAGCTTGAAGGGGACAGTACAGGACTCTGACTCAGATGCTCCCGGCATCTCTGTTGCGCTTACTAAGTGCATGTCCCCTGTGCTGAGGCCCTTGGAGAGGGAAGGTGTTCCTCAGCTGTCGTGGCTCTGGCATTGCTGAAATGAGGTGGCCTTTGTGGGACCCCACTTTTCTGTCTTGGTAACTTGTCTATAGACCTATCTAGCCTTGAGTACCTTGGTTCGGAGATTTGATTGATGGCTGTGTTACTTGTTCATTGCCTCAAGTAGAAGCTGCCTGACATTTTAGTTTTGGGTGAATTTGCTACTTCACATTATTACCTGAAAATATTTGTTCCTTAAAACTTGGGTCTAGAAGTGTGTTAGAGGAACGAAGACTTTGACGAGGAGAAAATCTTTGTCTTCCAGTCTTGGCCAGTAGCAGGATGTTTCAGCATGCATCTCAGGGCCCATGATTGTAGTCCTTTTCTTCTGCAGGTTCCAACCAACTGAGAAACCATCAGTTGTTAGTAAATCTTGCTGTTCATTGATTGTTCTTTACAAGCTATGGTCAACTCATTTTGATCAGCCTTTTAAACATTTGTCAGCTGCCATCCCATCTTGTCATTTATGGTTACTTGACAAGGAGATTCCAAAGCCTCTGAGAGGGACCCTGACCTCGCTGTAGTTGAGGAATGAAAGTGAATCACTCTGCCAGCTTGGAGGCATGCATGTATTTATTTTTGAACATACAGCTGAGGAGTATAAAGAAAAGACTGAATGATTTGGTTTCCTATACTCATTTTTTTTTTTTTACTGTTATCAATGGAAGTTTTGACAACTTCATTCTGTGAACATTTAATCAAATTTACTTGTCACTTGTGGGGTGCTCATAAATCTCAGCAAGTACAGCAGAAGCTTTTCAGGACTTCCGGTGGTTTTTCTGTGTTGTTCAAAATGCAGAAATAGATTATACAGTGTTCTTTCAAGCCCTTTGGTATAGAGTGGAATATAATTTAGGAAACTTTCAGAAATATATTTTTGAGAGGGAATGTTATGTGTAGGACTTGTAGCTTGGTGGATTTCACATTTTTTCCCCATACTTCCCCCTAGACTCTGGAGTGAAGAATTGTCCTAAGGCCTTGTTTGCCACACCTCTTTATTGTCTGTTTACATACTTTTTTTTTTTTTGGTATCAGGGATCAAACTTGGGACCTTGCACTTGCGAGGCAGGCGGTGGAACCACTGAGCTAAATCACCAGCCCCTGTTCACATATTTTTTAATGTCTGGGTTGAAGATGGCAGACGATATTGTGTGTTGTATGATATTGTTGCAGAGCTTTCTTCGCCTTGAAAACTTTTGATGTGCATAGATAGTCCAAATAGCCCTTTTTTTAAAAGACTCACTAAATAGCAAAAAATTAAATGTAGTTCTTTAAAATTATTTTGTTAAAATGTACAAAGATCTTAAATTTGTTGCTCAAAAAAGATGAAGCTGTTTCAAAACTGCTTAACAAACATGCTTTTTACTTTTTGTGTTTACCTGAAAGTTTTTAAACAATATTATTTTTAAGGTTAATGGCTTTTGCACTTAGAATTACAGGAAAACTTTAAGCCTGTCATAGTAAATCGACATTGTAACTATTAAAGATTTCAGCCTGTGGCACATGGAGGGGGTGTTTGCTCAAATTCTATGTAGGTCACTTACTTGTTTGAAAGTGAAAATTGAGGGATTTACAGTACACCAGGGTGGTGCGCTGTGTTTCCGCGGATGACGTCCCTGGGTCTGGTGAAGAGTGACTTGCATGGCCACACAGTGGTCAGTCACAGACAGGGTCAGGTTGGTGGGCGTTTGGCTACTCAGTGTTGAAAAGAGCGCAGCAGCACATCAGATCTTGCCAGTTGCTTGAGTGTATTCATACTGGTTAGCCTCAAGTAAGGCCAAAAGAATAAAGTTCTTTATTTAATTGCCTGACAAATAGGATTTTAGTTTGGCTTTTGTGTTTTTGAAACCAGTTTAAGCATCAAAGAGGGAACTAGGCATAGGGAATAGTTCAGGGCTGGGGACCTTTGGAGTTGGCTATGAATGGGTTCAGCTACTTTAATCTTTGTTATTTCTTAGAAAATACTTTGCACATGTATCTCATAGTATGACCCCTGAGTAATGTCTTGAACCCTTCAGGCCTGACTCTCTTCCTCCCAAATAATCCCTTTGTTTGCAGTCAGTTCTTTTCCATGGCCGGCACTCCGGCTTCGGCCCTGCATTGTTAGCCTGAGCTCATTGTTACCCCTCAGACTTGGCCGCAAAGCTGCAGGCCAGTTGTGGCCACGTGGCACGGCGTGTTGTGCTGAGCCTGATGCTGGGGTGCGTGTGGTGCTGTCTCCCGCCAGTGTCCTTGCGTGTGCAGTGGACCCGAGTGGATAAGAAGGTGCAGGCCAGTTTAGAAGCGCGCCTTTGCCTCTCCTGATCGGCAGCTTTGTCACTCACAGAAAGGGCAGGCGCGGCGTCCTCGCTTCCTTCTCACACAGTGGAGACCGCAGTGCCTGTAGGAGCTCAGGCTTGTGTGTCAGTGGTTTCTAAGCTTGCGGGTTTTGTGGCTTTTGTTTGCTTGTATGGAAGACATTTTAGCACAGGGCTGGTGTTAAAATACCAAAAGTATTTTTTAAAATTCTTTATCAAATACACATCAGACATACAAGTGTCTGCCCTGCCCTGTCACTTGGATTCGGTACAGTCTGTACTTGTTTCATTCATCCTTGTTTCGTCGTTGTCCTCCTGACCTCTGCACCATTGTTAGCTCAGTGGTGAGGCACAGAGGAGCCTCCATTTCTGTCTTCACCACCATTGGAATGGTACAGTCACATGGACCAGTCACATGTACCCGCAGCTCTCCTGTCCCTGGGCGGTGGCCAGGACATGGGTGGGGTCACCTCCTGTGCTTGAGAGCTCTGTGAGTGTGAGCAGTAGGTGGCCGTCCCATCCGGGCTGTGTCTGCAGAAGCAGCCCGCTGCCAGGAGACTGCTTGGGGATGTGTAACCCATAAATGTTTAATTTCTTTTTGCCCAGGTATCCTGAAGAACTTGCTTGGCACACAAATTTAAGTCGAAAAATCTTGAGAAAGTCCCCTCTGTTGGAAAGGTTTCATCAGTTCCTGATTAGCGAAACTGAGTCTGTAAGTAGATGTCTTTGCATTCGTTGGTTTCCTTCAAGCGTGGCGTGCAGAGATGCTCCATAGTTCTCTCTGTGCGAGACCTGGGGCAAGGCGCCACCACGGGTGGGTCTGATCCGGAGATGCGGGGCCTGGGGTCACTGCTGTCACTTGGCTGTGGTGTCCTCGCAGCCATGGCCCCTGAGAACACTGGATGTCCCGTTTCCTTCTCAGGTGCACAGCCCATCTGTTGGACACATGAAGTAATAGGGTTTTAAGGCCAGAGTGTAGGGGAAGTGACTTTGCGTCTTTATCATCTTCCCACCCACTTTTCCTGTCTGCACCTTTGCCGGGTCCCCTTCCGGGCGCTGAGGCTCTCTCTCGGCGCAGCCCCGCCCCGCCCCGGCCGCCGCAGCTCTTCCCTCACACAGTAAAGGGGTCTCCAAGTGCCCACCGGGCTTGCGTCTTGATGAGCTGCAGTTTCCCTTCGATGCTTTTGGAATTGTTGGTCTCCTACTTGAAGTTAGAAGGTTTTTCCTTCCCTTTCCGGGTCTCCTGTAGCCAGCTGACCCTGTGTCACCAGCTCGCTCCTTCCGTGCTCACGGTGAGCTCACCGAAGTATTGCGCTAGCCAGTCTGGGAGCCGCTCGCCTCGCTCAGCTCTTTCTCCCTTGCGCCCTGCTCTGCTCACGGGCCCTGGCCCTGGGGTGGCCTGTCAGCCGTCGGTGGCCTGTCAGCCGTCGGAGCTCTGTGCTGTTGCTCGGCCTTTAGCCTGGATGGGCGGTCAGTAAGGATGGGCACACAGGAGCCGCAGATGTGTGGGCACCGTGCGGACCTGAGGGGCCGGTTTCACAGAGATGGCTGCGGCGGGGAAGGGTGGAGGAGGAGCGTTCGGCGCACTGGTCCAGGTTCTGATCCGTGGTGAACAGGGCCGAGCCTCTGCGCGGCCAGCATGTGAGTCCCTGAGCTCCCGAGCTTCAGTTGGAAGCAGGCCGGTGAGTCACGTGCCCCGTGAGTGAAGGCACAGCTCGCCCTCGCCGGGAAAGGGATGGACATGAGAGGGCCCGCGGAGGTTTGCACCGGCAGAGGCCTCGGTGTAGGAGGAGCGCAGGCCTTGGGGAGCCACGCGGCTCCGGGGTTGGTGGGGTTGCGATGGGGCAGGGGTGGCTGCAGCAGCAGGGCGGTCTGCCTCTGCACCATGTCCCCTGAGACCAGGCCCTGGCCCTCGAGAAGCTTGAGGACGGAATCTAGGGGGTGTCCGGGTGTAGGTCACCTGAAGGAGACAGAACGGGCCAGTGTGCTCCCTGAAGGGCAGTTGTGGGAACAGAGTGGATGGGACCAGGAAATGGAGGGCAGGCTGGAGGGAGAGGGAGAAGCCGCCTGCAGTGACTGTGGCCGCTGTGGGTGTGGGTGTCCAGCCAGCGGGGTGCCTTTGAGAGCTGCTCCCTCAGCCCCATGCTCTTGAGAGGAGCGGCCGGACCTCGGTATCTCAGCGGAACTGCTGCTATTCTCTGGCACATTGTGGTGTCAGGGTCAGCCTCAGTTGGCCTTTAGGTAGCAGCTGTTTCCCTGCTGTGTTCCGTGTGGTAGAACAGAGTTTGGTTCTGTGTAAAGTTACATGGGCTTTTTCTGCTGCCATTGGACATTAAGTGCCTGTTCCTGAAATTCTCTCCTGTTTATCTTATTGTTAATTTTTCTCTCCCAAGGGAAATATCAGCCGTCAGGAAGCAGTCAGCATGATCCCGCCACTACTGCTAAACGTCCAGCCACATCACAAGGTAGGGTAGTAAATAGAGATGGGGCGAGTAGGTGGTTGTCAGGTTGTGCTGTGTGTCGTGTTTGTTGAAACCTTTTAGTAGAATTTTCCCCCCATTGAAAGGAGAATGGTATATATTCTATGTCAGGTTCTTGTACTTTTGTCCTACTTCATTTTGACGACTCACATACCTGTTTTCTCCCTTTTAAATTTTGTAATTTGCTTACCGTACAGATACCTGGAGCAGTCTTGGTGGCTAAACCACATTGAACATGGTAACCGCAAGCTCATTGTATGCCAGGCGCTGTCGGTGTCTTTAGTGAAGGACTTCCCTTTCTCTTCCCCATGCCCCCGGGAGAGTAGATCCACCATGCTGTCTGCACTTTGCCAGGAGAGAAGTAGTTGACATAGTTACAGGGCTGCCACCCTGAGCATTCTGCTGCCATGATTCTTGCTGTTCATCTCTGGATATAGCACTTTCATGGGACTCCATCATTCCATTTCCATTGTGTGTGGAGACTGTATCTGTGTCAGTGATTTTTTCTTTTCAGCACATTAATTGCCTATAGAAGTCATCTGGTAGGGAAGTGCGGGTCGGTCCTGAGGTGGACATCAGGACATTAGAGTCTGACTTGAAACCATTGTACATTAAACATAGGATATTCGGTATTTTTATAAACATCAGTTCCTTGCTTTGTTTTAGATCTTAGATATGTGTGCAGCACCTGGATCAAAGACCGCACAGTTGATTGAAATGCTCCATGCCGACATGAATGTCTCCTTTCCAGGTACTCTCGGGGCAGGGAGCAACTGTGGGGTGTAGGCTGGCCAGAGGTTCTGGTGTTCCCTGAGATTGCTTGGGCCAGACATGCAGGTTTTCTGTTTACTGAAGGCAGAGCTGGGTGTTTTTGTAAAATTGGGAGTTTCCAAACCAGCACATTCTTGCCTTTATTTTCCACGAAAGCTTTTCCTTTGATCAGGCCAACTGGCCGTATACAGATGTCCCAGTTTTGAGTTTTTGGTAGCATTTCAGTTCCCCGCTGCCCTGTGCAGGCGCTGGGGCGTGGTGGTTACGCAGTGTGGGGCTCCCTGGGCTTAGCGCTCTCCGTAGGCTGGGTCAGGCAACTGCTCCTGCAGTTAGGCTGTGGCCCTCCGCAGGGCTTCTCTGGAAAATGGACCCTGTCCATGGTGTTTATTGTCATCAGCCCTCATCTCTTTTCTTGAGCATCTGCCCAGGTCTATTTGGTGGGCACATTTGCTAGTTGTGTGTGCGTCTTATTATTCAAGAATGTTTTTGCTAAAAAGTGTTCTTTATTCTTTTTTGGTTAAATCGATACCAAGGAGCTTGGATCGTGTCAGCAGAAGCAGTTTCTCTTCTTTGTATGGTTGAGGTTTTGCTTTTTGCATGGTTTTGCAAAATGATCCTGGTTATAACAAGCTGCGTTACAAGGCGTCTTCATCCTTTTGCTGGGAGTGTGAGGACGCAGACGTGCAGAGGCAGCGCTGGGATCCTGAGGTGGACCTCACTGAGAGCAGCTCGTCCATTCAGGTGCTCCGACAGGAGCCCAGCTCTTGGTCAGGAACAGAGCCTTGGTACTGAGCAGCACTTAACACTTGTCTGCTGAGTCTTTTGTCTCTTTGTAATCACTTCCTAGTCACAGGAAAGACATGATCAGCACAATAGTCGTTATCAAGTCAGTTATCACTGAACAAGTGAGTCTTTAAGCTTTGAAATGTTCAGGTGTCTGTAAAATCCATGCAGAGCTGCCTGTGTCCTATTCTGGGACAACTCACATATTTGTAGTAAATCTTGGCCTTGCATCTTATGTTTGTGGATTGCTGGGTCTCCCCTGACAGCACGCTTCCGTGTTGGCAGAGGGATTTGTTATCGCTAACGATGTGGACAACAAGCGCTGCTATCTGCTTGTTCATCAAGCCAAGAGGCTGAGCAGCCCCTGCATCATGGTGGTGAACCACGACGCATCCAGCATCCCAAGACTCATGGTGGACGTGCACGGAAGGAAGGAGGTTCTCTTCTACGACCGGATTCTGTGCGATGTCCCTTGCAGGTATTCGTGTTTCTAAGCAGCCCGAGAGCCCAACCCTCACCACCACCACCAAGGAGTCCAATCAGATGTAGACTAAAATGAAACTACTGTGGACATACTTGAGGTGACCACAGGCATGGAGAAAGACTTCGGGAGCCTAAGCCAGAGGTGGACAGGGAGTGAGTGGAACGGCTCAGCTTGACACACGGTAGAGAGCAGAGAGGGAGCAAAAAGGTGGTTTTGGTAAAAGGTCTTTAAAAAGGAAGCGAGAGGACTACATGGTCACAGACTCACTGCCGCAGTGCGCATCTGGGTATTGCACAGAATTATTTTGCAGCCCTGGAAAGAAACTTCGGAGTTCAGACCTTGGAGAAACTCCCTTTCTGGCTGTATCTGTACTTCGTCTTACCCAGTGTTCTCAGTGTGAGGTCCTCTGTAACGTAGTGAAGAGCTGAGCATCTCTCGAAGGGAAAACTCCATTGGAGCTGTCTGCTGGGAGCCAGACATGGGCAGCAGCTGGCACCTCTGCAGCAGGCGTCTGCTGCTGCAGCTCTGACACAGCCACTGGCCCTGTCACGCTGAGCACAAGGTTTCAGCCCCGGCCTGCTTGTGGGAGGTCAACGTTGGGCTTAGGCCAGGGCAGACTCACTGCTCACGGCAGAGCTGTTTGAAACTTTTAACTGGAAACACTGAAGTTGGTTGTGTTTCAGTACCCAAAAAGCTCTGTGTGAAGTAAAATTTAGAGTAAAAGTTTTCAAAATGGGCCACCTTTTGTAGCTGCTACACAGCAGGTGAAACTTAGTGACTCTAGTAAACTAAATGTGTAGGTCATGAACTCGGTTCCCTATTTCCAAGTTGTAGTTTTCTCGGTCTCCCTGTTTTTCCATGTCAGTTCTGTGTTCGTTTGATCTGAAATAGAGTTCATTCCTTGTGTCATCTTTTGAGAATAAAGTGGCCTTATGAGCAGTTGGTTGTAAGCTGAAGAAATTCCTGAAATTATTGCAGAGTTCCCACTGTACAAGCTCTCAGCTTCCAGCTTGGGATATCATTTGAAAGTAGGAATCACATCTCTAGGATGTAACCATGCCGTGGGGCACATGCAGGTCAACCCGGGGAAATTTAAACTTGACAGACGTCAACAGAGCCCAGAATAAATCCTGGAAAACTTAGGTAGATAAAATTGGACATGGACAGAAGATTATAAGTCAAGTCTGTATTTTAAAATGTACATGGAAATAATTTCCATTAACAGAAACATGAAACTAGTTTCTATTAAAAGTATAAAGTCTGAAATATTTATGATTATAGAACTTGGTGATGGAATTAAATTGCTCTAATTGAAATTGCTGTGGAAAAATCTTTTGAGTATAAATGTATCATTCATTTAGTTTTGGTTAAGATGTCATTGTTGATTAAGAGTTATAAGTAGCAGGATTCAAGGTTCTGTATCACAGGTCTGCATACCAATTCTGCTAGTACAGGTTGAACATCCTGAATCTGAAATTCAGAGTGCTCCAAAATCAGAAACTGTGAGTGCTGTTCTTATGCCACTAGTAGAAAATTCCACATCTGAACTCAAGTGATGGGCTGCAGTTGAAATATGGACATCCTAAAAATCCTGTACAAGATTCCCTTCAGGCCACGTGTGTAAGGCGTGTATCACAGGCGAATTTCATGTTCAGACTTGGCTCTCAGCCCCAAGGTAGCTCATTGCATATGTGTACAGATTCAGAGCTAAAGAAATCCCAAAGCACTTCTGGTCCCAAGCATTTTGGACAAGGGCTATTCAACCTGTATTTCTCCAACATGGGTGCAAATTAATCTCTTTAGGAGGTGAGTGAGATTTCATGTTCAAGTCTAAAATAAAATGTTTTAGAGTACTTCTAAAATAGAACATTAGTTGTCATTTATGAGAGTTTAGGTTGCTTTCTAGTTGGGGTTTATAGTCATACCTGTTTGTAGTCCAGTGTGAGTCTGCCATGCTGTGTCGTTTCAAGTTGTTGAATATCTTCTTGCCAGTGGGGACGGCACTATGAGGAAAAACATCGATGTCTGGAAGAAGTGGAGCACCTTGAACAGCTTGCAGCTGCATGGGTGAGTGAGCCCCCAGGGCGACATCGGGCACAGCCAGGGTGGAGGGACGTGCCGGTCGGGCGTGGCTCAGCATCTGGATCTTCGGGGTGGCCGTGGCATCTGGGGTGACAGCCAGTGGCACCTCGTGAGAGCTTGCTTCTACATCAGAAGTTGCTTTTAAAGCCTTTCCAGGGCCGGGGATTTTGCTCAGTGGTTTCGCCGCCTGCTGCACAAACGCAAGGACCTGAGTTCAATCCCCGGTACCAAAAAAAAAAAAAGCCTTTCCAGAGTACTAACTGAATTTTGCCTTTAAGATACACATTTATTATAAAAATTCCTGCAATGATATTTTCTTCTAGTATTGCAAATATTTTTCCACAAAGGGATCCTGTTTTTGGTGTCTTAACTAATCTTTTTTTCTCTTCATTTTTTGTTCATTTGTGGTATTAATTTGCTTTTTGATCTTTCAGAATAATTTTAGATAAGTAAAACACTGATTAAAGAAAATTTGGAAAATTCTTAAAAGAAAACCTCACACTGAGCCGCAGCTTGTGTTGGTGTCGGTTGTGTTGAGTTGTGTTCTGCACTTACTGGGACAGCTCGGGTTGTGCTGTGAGTACAGCTTTGTGAGCTCTTTCCATTGTCTGGAAAGGTACCGGTTCTCGCAGGCGGGACTGTGAGTGGCCTAACGTGTATTGATGAAAGATCACAAATAAGTAGTGAGAATTTTTTTTCTCTGTTCAGTACTTTCTACTACTTTTTGTAGAAGGAAGGCAAGTGTTAGGATTAGAATATACGAAGGGTTACACATTCATGTTTGTACAAATGCAGAGTTTTTTAATAGATTCATTTAATTGTGGATTCGATCGCTAAGCTTTGTCTTTGCTTGCTGCATTGGCAAGGCAACAGCAAAAACATTTGTGTAACGAGAGGCTTTTAGTGCTAGTACCAGACAGCTCACAGAGCCTGACCCCGGCTTCACTTCGAAGCTTAAAACTGTTAGAGCATTGTGAAAACTCGTAGATGGTGCTTGTGAGCGTCGTGCTGCATGAATCCGCTCACTCAGTCTTTGGGTCACCTGTGCCAACCCTCAGCTTACAGCTCCGGATTGCGACTCGAGGTGCCGAGCAGCTAGCAGAAGGGGGTCGGATGGTGTACTCCACATGCTCCCTCAACCCCGTTGAGGACGAGGCCGTCATAGCTTCACTCCTGGAAAAAAGCGAAGGTGAGCAGGCTGCGGCCTCACGGTGTGTGTTCCTGCAGCGCTTCTGGAGCTTTGCTTGCATGTCAGCCCTATCACCAAACTCCTAAAGCGAGGTGTCTGTCAGAAGCACACACGATAGATTTCTCATACTGTGTGGAATGTTTAAGGGGATCTGAAAACAAAGACTTGCTCATATCTGTTTGTCAGATCCATGTCATACTAGTTTATTTTTTAAAGTTTGGACTGGGAAGTTTTAACTGTCAGGCACCTGGCGCGCATAGGGCTTCATTGAAGAATGAAGCAGCCAGCCCTGAGCCGTGTTCTCTCCTGTGCTGGGGTCTCTGACAGAGGGCCTTTAGTCCCCACTGGAGACTGCTAGAAACCTCCGCTGGATGGAGGAGGCCGGTGGCCGAGCCTGTAGGTGACAGATGGGTCAGCGAGGTCCCTGGAAGGCCCTGGACAGTTTGGAGGGGCCTGTACTCTGGTTGGGTGCTAGTGTTAAATGGAGAAAACTCAGAAACCATAGTGGAAGTCAGGGAGGTGCCGTGTGGGAGGTCTCTTCCGCCACCTGTCCGCCTGGGGGACTCTTGTGCTTTGTGTTTACCTTTTCAGATTTCTTACCGTTTCCCATAGAGCTTTGCTGGGCTTCCTTTCCTGGGAAGCTGTCAGATGTGCATGGTGGTCTGTGGATAGGAGCTGATGCCAAGGTTTCCCAGCTCCCCTTCAGCTTCTGCTGGTGTCAGTGTTGGAGGGCAAGGCGTGTGGTTCAGATTGGGCTGAGTCGTGATAGATGGTTTTACAAAACTTACAGGCATATGAAACTGCTGTACAGTTTACGGTCGCTGTTTGTTTCTGGGTGTGTTACGTGCACAGGCAGGGAGACCCCAGCCAGCTGACCAGGGTGTCCGGCATAGGCAGGCAAGCGTGCGCACACTGAGTCCCGGCTGCATGTGGCCTTGATCTTGTGTCCATGGAGGGACTCTGCAGTGCCTTTGTACTTCAGTGGCTTTGTGGAGCTGCAGTTTACCTAACATAACATTCACCTGCCTCAAGTGTACTGCTAAGTGGCTTAGTGACCTCCCACGTGGGCAGCTGTTTGCTCCACCCCTGAGGAAGGTCTGTTACTCCATGCCCCGCCCAGCCCCCAGCCACTGCTGCTGTCCTTCCAGTCAGCAGCCTTGCCCTCCCTGGGTATTTCCTGTAAGTGGACTCATGCAAGGTGAGATCTTTTATTTCTGGTCTCTTTCACTGGGCATAATGTGCCATCCCTTTGGGGAATTTTTTTCTTAATAAATAGGAGCTCTAGAGCTTGCCGATGCGTCTGCCGAGTTGCCGGGGCTGAAGCGGATGCCTGGACTCACGCAGTGGAAGGTAACCCTGCGGGGAGGGCTGGTGCCAGGGCGCAGGCTGCAGTTTGGAGTGAGTGCCCGAGTCACAGGATTAATGACAAGTACTGTAACTGTACTCGCCTCTCTCTGGCAGTGGAAAACTTGTTTTGCCTTTATCCCACGTCTGAAAACTGGCCTTGTTCTTACCTCTATAAGTATAGCTTTGCTTTATTTTTGAATGATCTGGCATTTTAACTTCATTCCACCGTGAAGTGGTTCAGTTTACAGTTTCAGTCCAGACAACCCAGGACCTGTTTTAAAAATGAAAAAGAAACTCGTGTGGCAAATGTTCCTTGAATGTGGTTGTCCTGGTCTGTAGCACACAGTGTGTGAAGACTGCTCCCTCTGGGCGACTGGTCCTCCCTCTCAGGGGACAGACCTGCCTTGGTCCCGGGCGGGGCCTTCGCACTGTGCCATGGGGCTCCCAGTCAGTGGTGCTGCCTGTCCAGGAAGCTGCCGTCTCGTCTGCAGGTCATGACCAGAGAGGGGCAGTGGTTTGCGGACTGGGATGAGGTTCCCTGCAGCAGACACACCCAGATCCGGCCCACCATGTTCCCACCCAAGGACCCCGAGAAGTTGCAGGCCATGCACCTGGAGCGCTGGTGAGTTTGGGTGCACTGCGCAGTTTGGGGACCAGGCGGGCTGTGGTGGCTGGTGGGCTTGGGCAGCAGCAGGACAGGCCACAGGGGACACAGGTGTGAGGCTGGCTGTTCCAAGGCCACCCGCAGGTGTGGGGACTCAGGTCAGCGACATGTCCTGCTCCGTTGGCCGCTGCACAGAGGATCTGAGTGAGGGCCGTGGGTGAGGCCACTTGAGGATCTGCATGAAGTCATTTTTGTGGTCTTTGTCGGAACACTGAGCTTACGCATGGCTCCTTCGCGGCCTGAGTTGTACACATGTGCTTGTAGCCTGAGGATTTTGCCACACCATCAGAACACTGGAGGATTCTTCGTGGCGGTCTTGGTGAAAAAGTCTTCAATGCCGTGGAATAAGCGTCAGCCGAAGGTAAGGGCTTTATTGCAGAACAGCGTGATAGGACTTTGGCCCTTTCGCACCTTTAGGACACAGCACTGAGTGGGAGAGGTGCGGGGCGGAGGCAGGGCCCGCGAGGGGCTGAGCCTGGCTGAGGTGGAATTTGTTTAATTTCTAGTTTCCCAGCAAGCAGATGTTCATCCCTGGGGACAGGCGTAGGAGAAGGCACTGTCTGACCAATGAATTCGGTCAGCAGCATCTGCAGTCTGGTTATTTAATAACAAGGGAGGAGACTAGAAGAGCAGTGTGGGGCTTGGGCTCTGACACCCGCCTCTGCTTCGGTACCCGAGGCTTCGTTCCCACCTGCCACGTGTCCACAGAGGCCGGGACTTCGGGGCAGGGCACCATCGATGCCTTGGCAGTGTGCAATCCTGGGCGGCCTCGCCCGGCCCCCTCAGCACCGAGGCCTGGCCTGGCCTGGCCGACTGGTGATGCAGGCAGCCCTGGAACCAGGCCGTGTGCTGCTCTCCCAGCTGCTGCTCTGCGCGATGGTGGGCGGGCTGCAGTCACTGAAAACCTGGAAACTGGGACCAGTGACGCTTAGCCTTTGGAGAAGGGAAAACGGTCAGGCAGGGCTGGTCCAGGTCCACTCTTTGTCGTCATCCAGCTGGTAAAGGCCGAGCCCTGTGCTCAGGCCCTCGCCAAGGTCTCGTCTCTGGTTAGCAGGGGCTTCATGGAGTGAGTCTTGGTGGAGATCTTAATCCAGGGAGCCCAGCTGCCCTCTCAGGAGTTGAACCGTGCTGCTCAGAGCTGTGCAGCTAGGAGCAGGATTCTAGCCTTGTGTCATGTTTCCCAGAGCTACAGTGTAAGAAGTGGAGTTAACGTTAATGTTATTTGTCCCAGGATGTTAAAAATGTAATTTCCAAGTAATCGGTGTAAGAAACTCTTGAGACCCTTTGCATTTGTTGGTACTGTGCTTCAGCAATCAGAAGTGCAGTTCACTGTTTGTGACTTGGTGCTGGCCTTGAACCCAGGCTGTCTCCGTGACTTGGTTGTGCCCCTCCCTGGCTCAGCTTCCCATTTGCTGCTACCCAGTCCCGATTCCCACTCCTTCGGTTTCACTGAGTCCCTGGACCTGGGGTTCGGTCCATGGTTGCTGGCTTCACGTGTACCCACCAGGCCCCTGGCAGTGCCATGACCGGGCAGGTGGACGCCGCAGACACCTGCCTGTGTAGTGGGCTCTGACTCTCTTGCAGTTTGCCCTGACGACTTCGGCCCTCCTGTCCCATTTCTGCCACGTCTGTCCTGAGTCCTTGGTCCAGGGCACAGCCTGTCTAGTTGCCGCACGGTGTACCCCGGGTCTTGGGGGGGGCAGAGGGTGCCCTGGGAGTGGCCGAGAGGCGGCCCTGAGACAGAGGCCTGTTCAGGTCCTGAGGGAGACAGGAGGTCTGGAAGGACCTCGGCTGCTGCCCATGTCCGGGCGGCAGCTGCCTCCCATGTTTTCACGCTCTTTCTGCCCCGGAGCGGGTGTGCTCTGGGTGGACTCGGGCTTAGTAGCTGTGTGACACTGAGGGAAATGTGGAACTTGTCCGTGTGGAAGTGTCCCAGTTTATGTACGTACAGTAATACCTTGACTCACGAACGCTTCTGTTTGTGAACAATTCAGTTTGCAAACAAGCGTTTGACAAAATTGTGCTTCCATTCCCAAACTCTGCATCAAGTGACACACATGACCACAGCCATCCTCCCCACACAGACACGCGCAGCCATCTTACCCAAAGTCATAGATTAAGTTCACAGACTGAGGCACCACTCTGTTTCGTGGGAGCTAGGAGTTGCCCCTTTCAACAGTCTTGGGACCTGTTGGACAAGGTAGTTTAAAAGGTTTGTGTGTGTGTGCGTGCGTGTGTGTGTGTGTGCGCATGCGTGTGTGTGCGTGTGTTGGAACTCAGATCCAGGGCCTTGCTTGTGCCAGGAGAGCACTGTACTGCTGAGCCACACCCTGTCCTCCAAGAGGCCGACTAGGAGTGGCCCTTTGTGAATGTTCAGAGCAGGCTCAGTTACGCCAGCGGCTCATCCTCGGCCTTCTCCTGACTCCCGGTGCCCTGGACTGGTCCCTGCCCCACTTCCGCCCCTGGCAGCTCTTGCAGGGCCCTGCCTGACTTGGCTCCGTCCTTCCCAGCAGAGGGCCACAGGGGCCCTGGGAAATAAATACTTCCTTTTCCGCTCTTCCCGGCCGGGGGAGAGCGAGGTGCGCGCGTCTGGGTGCTGAACGCTCCTGCTCTCGCTCACTCTCCACCTCAGGTCCAGGGTATGTGTGCAGTGAGCAGACAGAGCACAGAGCCAGGCCTGGCGGCTCCTGAGGAGGGGGTGCCCAGCGAGCCCCCCGAGCTGCACAGCGGGGCGGCTGCAGGGCCGGGCGACACAACAGCTGCGCCAACAGCTGAGGACCCAGAGTCCGGCGAGAGCAAGAAGGACGGCGTTTGCGGGTGAGAGGACCCGGCCCTGGGGTCTGTGCCCTGCCCGCCTGCTCCACCGCCCCTCACTCCCGGCCCCTCTGCTGTCCCCTCCCGGCAGGCCGCCGCCCTCGAAGAAGATGAAGTTACTGGGGTTTAAGGAAGACCCGTTTGTGTTCATTCCCGAAGATGACCCGCTCTTCCCACCTATTGAGTAAGGACTGGTTCAGTCCGCGGCCCCCTTTGGAGAAGCTGCCTGTGCCGTGGGCGAGGCGTGCTTAGCCGCGTGGCTTCCCTCGCCCTGCGTGGTGCAGCAGAGCGGCGAGGCAGGCGTGCACTCTGCCACTGCGACCCCACCGGGCAGGGCCAGAGCGGGAGGGCGAGAGCCTCCTGGAGGGGCAAGGACAGAGACAAACCCCGAGTCAGCCTCTGTCCTGAGCCCGCGTGCCTGGCTCGCTCGCTGGCCCGGTGAGCTGGCGTGAGTGCCGCCGGCCGGGCTGTGCTGTCTTATCCAGAGTGAGGCGGAGTGGCGGGCAGGGTGCAGGCCTGGCCGGGCAGCACCGGGAGGAAGGGAGGAAGAGCCTAGGACGCCAGTGTCCGCACCTCCGTGCTCGAGCCTGCCTGCGGGCCGGCCCTTGCACAGTCGGTACCGGTTGGGACGGTACCGGGTGCTCAGTCCTTGTCATGGGAGTGGCCCTTGGGGAGCCGCCTGGAGGCTCCAGGTGAGGCAGAGGGGCTGGGGTGGGGTCAGTGCAGAGCCTGAGCGCTGCAGCCCGAGGAGGCAGCAGGGAGATGGAGGTGTGGGCAGCGGAAACCCTGCCCCGCCCAGCAGCTACGTTCTGTCACAGGAAGTTCTACGCTCTGGATCCCTCGTTCCCAAGGATGAATCTGCTGACTCGAACCACAGAAGGGAAGAAGAGGCAGCTCTACATGGTGTCCAAGGAGCTGAGGAGCGTGCTGCTGAACAACAGCGAGCGGATGAAGGTGCCCTGCCTGACCGGACGGGGCCTGTGAGGGCGCCTGGAGGGCAGGGTGGGGTGGGCAGGCCCTGCCCCCAGGTCACCCCGTGGCTCCGCCCTTTTGTTTGCCAGCAGGCACCTGGCTCTGGGCCCCCTGAGTCGCGGTCAAGGTGGCCGTGTTCGCGGGCCTCTGGGGCAGCGCTCTGTGTGCAGCGCTCTGTGTGCAGCGCTGCAGTTGGCCAGGGAGCCTGCTGTGGTGAGGTGGCTGAGCCCCCAGGCCCCTTCCGGCTGCCCCCGCGCCCTGCTGCTCACAGTGGAAGAGATGAGCTAGCTCAGTGCGCCTGAGCTCTGTGTTCTATCTGCTGCTTTGCTTTTCTTCTTACAGGTCATTAACACAGGGATAAAAGTCTGGTGTCGAAACAACAGTGGAGAAGAGTTCGATTGTGCTTTCCGGTTGGCACAAGAGGTAATTTTAGGAAGAGGCTTGAACGGCCCTGGCCCCAGGTGGCTCTGCAGCCAATGGGGTGAGCGGGCGTCTGCCTGCCTCATGGGTGGGCGTGGCTTCTGCCCCATCCCTGGAGCTGAGGCCAGGCCTGCACCATCCACAGCCCTGCAGCGGGTGGTATTGTCCTCTTTATTCCGCAGGGCATATATACATTGTATCCGTTTATTAACTCAAGAATTATTACTGTATCCATGGAGGATGTGAAGATCCTGTTGACCCAGGAAAATCCGTTTTTTAGAAAACTCAGCAGCGAGACATACAGTCAAGCCAAGGACATGGGTAAGCAGTGGAGGTGCAGTGATTTGTCCTCCTGTATAAGGACAGTGAGTGCAGGTGCTTGTTTCTCTGGCACATGTCTTCTGTCACCACCTGACAGGAACTGGGGTGACCTGCAGTGTAGGGATGTGGCGGTGTTTCTGTGTGGACACAAAGACTGGGCGTCCTGGGACATGTGGGGTCCTTGGGCCCGTCCCCGTGTACCAGGGACTGCACAGTGAGGGCCCTCTGTTGACTGAGCTCCAGAGGGCTCTTCACACCTTAAGGATCAAAGGCATCCCGAGGGGTGCTCTGCTCCCTGAGCCCCTGGTGCCACCCTGCAGCCCACCCTGAGTCTGCACGGTGCTCACCCCCTGGGGCACTAGCCCACTGGAGAGTCCTTGGGCTGCCTGGCGTGTGCCCTCCTGCAGGTCAGCACGTGCCACCCAGTTCCCCGGTGCAGAGGTCCCTGAGGCCTCTTGTGTCACAGGGTGCAGGAGACCCGCTGGATGGCGTGTGGGGCATTGGCACACGAGACGCCCTGCTCGGAGAAGCACAGCCTTCCTGCTGGCCAGTGAGGGCACAGCATTGGTTGCCTGGTTTCGGCTGGGGCCTCTGTGTCACAGGGTCAGCCCTGTGCTCACGCTGGGCTCCGGGCCCCTGTTCTCTGTCCTCAAAACCGTACAGCCACAAACGTGCTTAACAGTAGTGTTCGCCAGTGGCAGAACTTTGCACATGTGCATCTGTTTCTCTTCTCTTCCAGCGAAGGGAAGCGTTGTGCTGAAGTACGAACCGGATCCCACGTAAGTGCATGCTCCTTGCCGCTAGATGAGTGTTTCCGGGAGGGGTGTTCGGGAGCTGGGGGAGCCTCAGCTTTCTCCTGCTCCTCCGAAGGTAGACGGTGAAAACTCTGCAGATCACCGTGGAGACGTTGTTCCTAGAGCCTTGCATTGTGTTCACAAGAGGCTCTGCACTGGAAATCGGTGCAGGTGTCTGACTTCAGCCAGAACCTTGGCCGGGGGGTCTCAAGTGGGTGCGAGCTCCCTCCTCTGCTGCGCACCAGGCGTCTGTGTCTCCAGGCTGAGGCGGCAGATGGCCCTGCCTGGCAGTGGCTCGAGCTCACAGAGCCCGGCATGCTGCTCTGGTGCTCATGCACGTTTGGCTGAGCCTTGGGGAACCTGGGCGTGGACCACTGGGTGGACAGCCAGGCGAGCACAGGGTGGGTGGCCCGCCCGGAGGCTGGGGCAGTGGCAGGCCATGGCACGTGAGGCACAGAGCAAGGAGGGGGTGTCATGGTCCCAGGCCCGGGTCTGCCCCTCTGCCACCGGCCTGCAGGGTGACAGGAGAGAGAGCTGCCGCCTGCTCAGGGGGCTGCAGGGCACAGGTGGGGCTCTGTCTGAGCAGGAGGTGGGTTTTGGCCGCAGCGATGGCAGGTGAGCGCCTCGGGCTGAGGAGGAAGAGGCCTGGCCATGGAGGGGAGGTGACCTCAGCAGCCTCCGGGCTGGTGCCTCCTGGTGCCGGTGGGTTTCGGGTGTTTCCGGGCAGCCCTGCGGATGCTGGCGTTCACTGAGCGCCATCCTTGTGCGCAGGAATCCGGAGGCCCTCCAGTGCCCCATCGTGCTGTGTGGGTGGCGGGGAAAGGCCTCCATTCGGACCTTCGTGCCCAAGAACGAGCGGCTGCACTACCTCAGGATGATGGGGCTGGAGGTGCTGGGCCAGAAGAAGAAAGAGGGGCCCCCCCCTCCTGGCAGGAGTGTGGCCAGCTCCGGGCCGCCGGAGGAGGAGCAGCAGCCCCGAGCGGAAGAGGCCGGCCCGGAGGGCGCTGCAGCAGGCTGTGCCCCGGCCCCAGCCGAGCCTCCCCGATGAGGATGCCAGAGCCCGAGCTGGCTTCCCTGGGCCTTGGCGTCAGACAGCAGCCCAGAGCCACCTCGGAGCTGAGCCGGGAGGTGTGTTGAGGACAGGCCCTGTGGAGTGCTCGCTCAGTACTGCGCTCAGTACTGCTCTCCACGGAGCTTGGGAAGTGCTTGGGTGCCTTGCGCTGTTCGCTTCACTGGTCTCTGGCAGCGGGTCGAGTGTCTGACTTCCCCAGTGTTCCTTCGGTGCAGAAGAAAAGCCGCCCTTGCAGGGGCTTTGGGCCCCTTTCCTACACCTGCGTCTCTCTAAAGGCCGGGCTTTTAAAAGCTGTTGTTCCTGCTGCGCGCATCGGCCTGTGAGGTGGCTGGCGAGCACGGGCGGCCGTGTCCTGTGCCTTTGTGACATGGGAAGGGGACCTTCCGAGTCCGAGCTCGTCTGGGTGTGACACTGTCAGCTGTGTGTGCTTTTATTCAGTGGGTGCTTTGCAGCTTTTACTTTCTAAGGAGGTTGGAAGTCCTGGGGATCCTCAAATAAAGAGCTCTTCATGATGATGACTGTGTCTCGTGCCACTTGTGCCACTTGTCCTTTCTCTCTTGAGGCAGCAGAAATGACTTGACTGCAGGGAACCTTGGACTCAGCGCCATCTTGTCTTTGCCGGTCACACCGTGCTGCCGAGCTGCCAGCCAGTGATCCTAAGCCCGGTGGGGCCTCCCTGGGTGCAGTGGGGCAGACAGGGCCTGGGGGGCGAGCCCCCGACCCTGTGGCTCCTGCTGTCGGCTCCTGGGTGCTGGGGCCACCTTGCCGAGACTTTTCCAGATTTGAAAACCGGGAAATAGAGCAGGGTGGAGTCTTTGAGTTCCTGTCACCTGAGCTGCTGCTCCCTGGGACTGATCTCCATTGCGGCCTCCGACAGCACTTCCCACTTCCCGAGAGAAGTGGCCCTCCCAGCGACCCTCATGCCTCCAGCGTTTCTCGGGGGGCTCACCTTGGCCTGCAGACCTCATTTTCCTGGCGTATACAGCCCAGGCCACGCCACGCAGGCTACCCTGAGCTTCTTGGAGCACTTCCCAGCTCAGCACTGCTAGGGTCTCCTGGCCAGCTCACCAGAATGAAACCTCAGGGTGATTTTCCCATGCAGACGGCGGCACTTCCTGTGTGTGCAAGCCACCTTTCTCTGAACTGTGAGCCGGTAGCTCATCGGTGCATCACTCCCGAGCCCCACGGCAAGACACCAGAGCGGTGCTGTCCTCAGCCCCCCCCCCCCAGGTCCCTGCCGCCTGGAGCTGTGTCTTGTGACAGTGCTGTGGGGCAGGGACAGAGTGCTCTAAGTGGCATTGTCCTTGTCCATGTTGCACACAGGTGCTGTTGGTGTGCTCATGGGCATGCGTTTCCCGGGCAGCGTGGTGTCTGCCTGCCGAGTCGACTGGCTGACGTGCCGGTGCCGGTGCTGGTGCCAGTGTTGGTGTCAGTGCAGGGAAGTGACTCGAAGACCACCTGCGTTAGTGCTCCTTGCCTCTTTAGCAGCGCTTGATAATTTGGCCACAACCAATTTTTACCTGGACAGCTGCAAAATGGTGGCTTTCCACTTTGCATCTACCTTGTTAGTTCACATTGTGCATAAATTCACACCGATCCTCACTTAGTTTTTATTCATTCCTGGCATTGCGTTCAAGAGTGCTTTAGTCAGTGCTAATCTGTTGTTGTCATTGTCATTGTTGGGTGCTCATTGTCTCTCTAGTTGGCACATGGGCGCTGCTTCCCATTGGTCCCAGTGTCCTGAGGCCCCATCATCCTTCCTGGCATGATGAGAGGGACTCTGGAGGACCCGAGGCTTAGCCCCGTTTCCTGGAGCTTGGCAAAGCCCCAGCTGTAGGTGTGTCACTGAGAGTGGGGTGTCACTTGCTGGAGACTTGACAGCAGAGACCATGCCTGGCGACGCTTGCTGGCCCAGTCCTCGGCCTGGGAGGTGCTGCTGAGGAGGTGGCTGCCTGGGTTCTCAGCCCCGGGTGCACCGGCCCAGTTAGTGATTGTACTCTCCGTGCCCCTCGCTGAGCTGCCACAATGTCCGAGGCAGTTTTAAAATGAGAAGTGTTCCTGACTTGCATGCTTACCTGGAAGAGTTTTCATCTCCACTTTCAGTCGCCATTGTGGCCAAACGATCCCTGAAGAGCACATTGCAGAAGAGAGGGCCTCCAGCCGAGGGATGAGTTCACCTCCCTTCGGACCTGTGTCACTGGCCCAGGGCACCATGGACAGAGCCTCTCGGAGCAAGAACAGCCTTACCTCATTGAGGCTGCAAAAGACACGGGCTTGTCACTTCTGCCCTGTCTTTCCCTTTGCACCTTGGAAGGTCTGTGGAGAAGATGAAGAGCGTACATTCCCTACATGAAGCATGACAGATACGTACAACTTCGTCCTCTTCACAGACCAGCAGATGGGTAAAGTGATCTGCCTCTACAGCTAACTCGGCTGCCTGTGACAGCGGAAACTGCAGAGACCACGGCTGGGTCACTGGAGCCACCAGAGGGAGTTGAAAGAGTGAGGCGGGGTGCACGGGGTGAGGAGGGAGAGGTCAGGCCAGGAAACCCACATCCCCGGAGTTTGCAGGCAGTGGAGGAGATGAGTGGCAGTTGGAGGGGCCTGTGTGGGCTGAGGCAAGGTGAGAGGTTTTAAATCCTGGAGTGTTCGGTGCCTTGGTGGCTGGACAAGTGGGACCCGATGGCCTCAGAGCAAGGCGCTGTCGCTAGCATGACAGTCTCCATGGGCCCAGAGGGAGCCCTGGAGCTGGGGTGACTGCCGAGTCGGGGTAGGGGACCTCTTCCCACCAGTCCTGGCCCAGGATGTCAGCAGCCAGTCCCCCAGAGACCCGGCTGGGAGAGGACGGGCTGCCAGACCAGACGCCAGCACCCTGCACGGCCCGCCACTCAGTGGGCCTGTCACAGGCTGCAGCAGCGAGCAGATGTGGGAAGAAGCTCGGCCTCCGATCCATGGGAGGAGGAAGAGCGAGATGACATTCCTCAGAGGACAGGAAGGGAAGGGAAGGGAAGGGGAAGCGGTGAGAACAGCAAGGAAACCGGACAGAAAATGCAAAATAGTTCCAGAAATTGAGCTGTGACTGACACTGGCAAGTGTTCACACAAGATGCAGGTGTAGATATTTTATTTTAATTATGTTTGGAAGCGCTAAACATTCCAGGCTCAATATTTGAGAGGTTCAGATCAGTAAGCATCTCCCTCCACCCCTCAGCCCTCCAAGGAGGCAGCCAGCACTTCCCTGTCTTTCCTTCCAGGGACAGTCTGTACAGACAGGAGTGCACAGGTAGGCCTCCCTTCCCCACACATCCTGACATTTACCTGGATGTTCTATGCCTCAGCTGTCTCTAAAGCAACAGAGCTCACTTCTGATCAGTAGCAGGAGCCGCCGCCTCCCTTAGTGGAGCAGGGGACCCTCACCTCACCACGCCCTGTGAGTAGACGTTGGGTTTTTTCCAGTCAGTCCTTGGTTACTGCCCAGAATCCTGCAATGAATTACACTGAACTTTTCATTTCAAATACTGCACACGTGTAGGTTGGAACAAATCTCTGGAAGTCCCGCTTACTGGTCAGGGAGTGTGCATTTTAAATGAAAAGGGTACTCAGCATGTCGCTATCAAATAAAATGGAATTCATGGCATGATGGCAACTGGGAGAAACAGGCAGCCTTTCTGTGTTTTATATTTATAAAAGGAATACACCATCAAGAACGTGAACCACCTTGCAACAAAATATTGAGAAAAATCTAATATTGCAGGAAGAAGAATGACAAATCCACAGTTACAGAAATTTTAATAGCATCTCAGAAATGGTAAAGTGAAGCAGAATACAAGCATTTAAGTGTCAGTTCACAAGCCTGCGTAAGCATCAAGTCATGAAATGAAACACTTGTTCTGTAGGGTTGATCAATAATTCAAAAACTTACTCTTCTGAAAAGACCAATAAAGTGGAGAAATCATTGGTAACTGCTCAGTAAAAAAGGAAGAGCATTGTACTGCGGAAAACTAAAGTTTGCACAAAAACTCCAAATCTGCTTTTCCACCAGTGGCTCTGAAGGTGGAAAAGAAATAAAAATGCCCAGGTAAGTACAAGTTAGCAGCTCATTCACTCCAATCAGAAAGCCTGTGTGGAGGAAGCGCCTTCCACCCAGATGGCAGGTGGTGGTTTCCCTGCACTCTCCTGTCCCTCCCTCGGAGGTTAGGGTCACTTCAGCATGGAAAATATGTCCAGGTGGGAATCTGTCTTCGCCTCTCAGGATGTTAGAACAGACTCCATAGATCAATGGCTTACACACAATGCTAGTTACGGACTCTGGAGGTCAGATCAAGGTGCCAGCAGATGATTCCTGGCTCCTAAGGGCTGCTTCCTGCTTCACAGATGGTGACTTGGCGCTGTGGCCTCAGCGGTGGGAAGGCCAAGGTCTCCTCCTCCTCAGCCTGACCTCAGGGTGCACCCTGACAGCACGAGGTGGGTGGGGGGCTCTGGTTCCACATCTGCATTCAGACCACAGCTGCAGCATTACTGCAGTCAGCAGATGTAGGGAAATGGAGTTTGCAGAAGGTGGAACTGTGGTTCCCCTCATAATCCACAGGGGACTGGAGGGCTGGGCTCAGCCCCTCGCTCTCTTTGGACTCAGCAGAGCTGTCCAGAGGGCTGATGTGGCACGCGTTTCCACACAAACCTGTGAGATGCTTCCAGCAAGGAGTAGTCCTACCAAGGAGGGAGTCAGCCACTGCAGGGGCGACCTGAGAGCCGCCTTTCACCCAGGTCTGGAATCCCAGCACTCTGGGAGGCTGAGCCAAGACCCTCTGAAGTTTGAGCCAGCCTGAGCAACTTAGCGGGATCCTATCTCAACATAGAAAATAAGGGATGGGGCAGCTCAGTGGGAAGGCCCTGGGTTCAATCCTTGATACCAGAAACAAGATCTGCTTTTAGGGGCAGCAGAAGGGGAAACTAGTTTGTCGTTCTCATTATTGGGTCCAAGAGAAGGAACCGCTGTGAGAGGAGAGTTGGTGGGGAGGAGAGGCGGTAACACCATCTAAGCATCGAAACCCTCCTGTGGCACTGGGCCTCACACTCCCAGCTCACAGGGCCCACCCACTGCCCAACACCCTCGCCTGACTGCTTGACTCCACCCATTCTTTTCTTTTTTTTTTTTTTGGTACCAGAGATTGAACTTGGGACCTTGCGCTTGCGAGACAGGCAGGTGCTGAAACCACTGAACTAAATCCAGGCTCCTCCACCTATTCTGAGGGCACCCTGCCCCCAACCAGGTGGACCCTGGGGGTCCTGTGCCTCCCAGACCAGGCTTTTGCATCCGTCCTTCCTGTGCCTGGTAAAGGCTCCACCTCAGCACAGAGAAGACAAAACACCAAATCAGCCTTTTCTCTGAGCTGCCTACCAGCAACACTGAACCCGCCGTGTCCACAGAGAGCCCAAGAGGCCACTGTCTGTCCCTGTCCCGTCCCGTCCCCTGTCGCCAGTCAGGCTCCTTGGGCTGTGTTCTAGCAGGGTTGGGT